ACTGTTTAATGAGAAACTATTTGTTCTGCAGACCTTCATCTAAGGTACAAAAAAAAAGAATTATCTATGTGAGATCAAATTGACAACAGCAACTCAAAAGGTTTGATGGGAAGCCTAGAGGGCAGTGAGTTGAAAATAATAGTGACGGAATTAAAAAAAAGAAAAGAAAAATGAAGAGGGATGACACGAGAGGGTATATCTACACACACATATGATGGAGTGGGAAAGAGGCCACAGGGCTTTCCTGGAAGATGGCTGAAGGCAAAGGATGAATTGCCTATTCTCCTAGCGTGTCTTGATAAATTCAGTTTCATAGTGTGCCCCAGTTCATCAGAGATCGTGAACACTGGTCACTCTGATGCGAACTGCAAAATATCCTTTCCCACTAGGACAACATAGGGAAATCTGAACAGAAGGGAGAGGTTCTAACTGAAAGACTTATTCATTTTCACACTCAGGTTTTGGCAGTAGGTAGGACAGTGCTTAAATGGCTTCTCCATGGAACGTGATAACAATGTTGAACACAGCTATGAAATTGGATTTCATGTGATGGGTGTGTGGCAAAAATATAAATGATAATAATGATAATAGTCTAACTGTTACAAACCACAGAGCGAAAATCAGCTTCCTGCTCATTAGTCATGCCTTGCTAAGTTCTTAAAAAAAGACTCCTGAATACAGCAGTTCTGACAGTTTCCCATCCTCTTGATATTGCTCTACTGACTTTCAAACTATTAAAATTCTGTATTATTTCTTCTCAAGCTGAAAAACTCCATCAGATTGCCCCATGAGGGTTCCAGTCCTAAGATGGGATTATAATATGAATGGCACGTGTATGGTATAATACCAATCATTTTTCATATTGAACTCATCATCTCGCATGTTCCAGAACCAGAGTTCTCTTAAGCAGTTCTGGGATATGATAAGTTAGTGTATACATACATACATACATGTATATACGTGTGTATATATATATTATTGGTGATTAGAATGCAAAAGTTGGAAACAAAGAAGGATTGGTGGTTGGAAAATATGGCCTTGGTGATAGAAATGATGCCAGAGATCACATGATAGAACTTTGCAAGACCAATGACTTATTCATTGCAAATACCTTTTTCAACAATATAAAGGGTGACTATTCATGTGAACCTCACCAGATGGAATACATAGGAATCAAATCAGCTACATCTGTGGAAAGAGAAGATGAAACAGCTCAGTATCATCAGTCAGAACAAGGCCAGGGCCAAGTGCGGAACAGACCATCAGCTGCTCATATGCAAGTTAAAGATGAAGCTGAAGAAAATTAAAACAAGTCCATGAGAGCCAAAACACAGCTTTGAGTATATCCCACCTGAATTTAGAGACCGTCTCACTAAGAATAGATTTGACGCATTGAACACTAATGACCGAAGACCAGACGAGTTGTGGGATGACATCAAGGCCATCATACATGAAGAAAGCAAAAGGTCATCAAAAAGACAGGAAAGAAAGGAAAGACCAAAATGGATGTCAGAAGAGACTCTGAAACTTGCTCTTAAACATAGAACAGCTAAAGCAAATGGAAGAAACGATGGAATAAAAGAGCTGAACAGAAATTTCAAAGGGCTGCTCGAGAAGACAAAGCGAAGTATTGTAATGATATGTGCAAAGACCTGGAGTTAGAAGAACAAAAGGGTAGAACACGCTCAGCATTTCTCAAACTGAAAGAACTGAAGAAAAATTTCAAGCCTTGAGTTGCAATATTGAAGAATTCTATGATGTCAGATGGATCTTGACTGAAAGCAGAGAATAGCAGAAAGATGTTTACCTATGTTTTCTTGACTATGCTAAGGCATTCAACTGTGTGGATCAAAAGAAATTATGGATAACACTTTGAAGAATGGGAATTCCAGAACACTTAATTGTGCTCATGGGGAAATCTGTACACTGACCAAGAGGCAGTCGTTCGAACAGAACAAGGGGGTACTGCATGGTTTAAAGTCAGGAAAGACGTGTGTCAGGGTTGTCTCCTTTCACCATACTAATTCAATCTGTATGCTGAGCAAATAATCCGAGAAACTGGACTATATGAAAAAGAATGTGGCATCAGGATTGGAGGAAGACTTATTAACAACCTGCGATGTGCTGATGAAATAACCTTGCTTGCTGAAAGTGAAGAGGTCTTGAAACATTGAAGAAGATCAAAGACTACAGCCTTCAGTATGGATTGCACCTCAATGTAAAGAAAACAAAAATCTTCACAACTGGACCAATAAGCAACATTATGATAAATGGAGAAAAGATTGGAGTTGGAAGGATTTCATTTTACTTGGATCCAAATCAACACCCATGGAAGCAACAGTGAAGAAATCAAATGACATATTACACGGGGCATATTGGCTGCAAAAGACCTCTTAAAGTGTTGAAAAGCAAAGGTGTCACCTTGAGGACTAAGGTGTACCTGACCCAAGCTGTGGTGTTTTCAATTGCCTCATATGCATGTGAAAGCTGGGCAATGAATAAGGAAGACTGAAGAAAAATCGACACCTTTGAATTATGGTGTTGGTGAAGAATATTGAATATACGATGAACTGTCCGAAGAACAAACAAATCTGTCTTGGAGGAAGTACAACCAGGATGCTCCTTAGAAGTAAGGGTGGTGAGATTTCGTTTCAGGTACTTTGGTCATGTTATCAGGAGGGACACATCCTTGGAAGGACATCATGCTTGGTAAAGTAGAGGGTCAATGAAGGAGAGGAAGGCCCTCACAGAGGTGGATTGACACAGTGGCTGCAATGATGGGCTCAAGCATAGCAGTGATTGTGAGGATGGTGCAAGACTGTGCAGTGTTTCATTCTGTTGTATGTAGGGTCGCAATGAGTCAGAACTGACTTGATGGCACCTAACTACAATATACATCCACCCATCTGTCAGTTTGACATAATGCCACTGGTATTTCAAGTACCATCAGGGTCACCCATAGTGGACAGGCTTTGGTGGAGCTTCCAGACTAAGACAGACTAGGAGGAAAGGCCTGGGGATCTACTTTCAAAAATTAGCCAATGAAACCCCTATGGATCACAAAAGAATATTGTCTGATATAGTGCTGAAAGATGAGCCTTCTAGGTTAGAAGTCACTCAAAAGACATAGTGGCTGCCCCAATGGACTTGAGCATGCCAATACTTGTGAAAATGGATCAGGACGGAGAAACATTTTGTTCTGTTGTACATGTGATTGCCATGAGTTGGAGCTGACTCATTGGCAACTAAAAACAACATATATATTGATAGTTAGTGGGATTGTTAATGTTATGTGTCTCCTTGGCTAGGCTATAATTCTCAGTCGTTTGGCAGACATTGGACTGATTGCTCTTCTATATGTAATACAATGTAATCACTTCCATGAGGATATCTGATATAATGTAATCGCCTCCATGGTGACATCCGAGGTGATGAATCACCTCCATGATAAGTTCTGATGTAATGTAATTGCCTCCGCGATGAGATCTGCTATGAGCAGCCAATCAGCTGAAAAGGGAGTTTCCTTGGGGATGTGGCCTATCTCCAGTATATAAATGGATGTTCCAGCAAGGCTCACCTCGCTCTGGATCCTACATCTGAGCAGCCTGCTGCTTGACCTGCAGATTTTGGGATTTATCAGCTCCCAAAGCCCTGTGATCCAGCAGCCTTCTATCCAACCTGCCAATTTTGGGTTTGTGAGCCTCTACAGCCACGTGAGTTGGGAGAAGCCTCCAGCCTGACGCTTGATCCACGGACTTTGGAAGTTGCCAGCCTCCACAACTGTGTTTGCCTCCATACAGTTGATTCAGTCTCTGTGTGAGAATACAGAGGAAAATAGGTGGCAGCTGCATTCTTGACAATGTATCCACAGGAATCGGGGACCATCAAGGATGAGGCTGTGGACTTCACCCACGGTGAGTGGGCCCTGCTTGACACGTCACAATGGAAGCTGTACAACATGGAGAACATCAATCATCTGGTCTCAACGGGGTATCATCTCTGCCAATCAGATGTGATTTCCCATTCAAGGCAAGGAGAGGAGCTATGGAGGGACAAAAGAGAACTTATTCAAAACCAGAGTCCAGGCTCACAGCAAACACAAGCCCGACGAAAGAAGACCGTTTTGAAGCCAAGTCAAATAGATGTCCTGCAAGCATCACTTGAACAGAACCCCTACCCTGGTATAACTATCAGAGAAGAGCTCGCCAAAGAAACTGGCATTCCAGAGTCTCAAATTCAGGTTTGGTTTAAAAACCACAGAAGACACCTAAGGAAGGGCCCATTGGCCTCTGGACGTGCCCTAGAAGAAGAGGCATTCCAGGGTCAAGAACAGCCTCAGCCTTGGTCTCAAGAAAATTTCCCCAAAGCAACCAGAAGGAAGCGGATATCCATCACAAGATCTCAAACCAGACTCCTAGTTGAAGCCTTTGAGAAGAACCGATTCCCTGGTTTCGCGGCCAGGGAAGAACTGGCTCAACGAACTGGCCTTCCGGAATCCCGAATTCAGATATGGTTTCAGAACCGAAGAGCTCGGCACCCAGTGCAGAACACGAGTGTGCCAGTGAATTCCTTGGCAGACAGCCTAACCCAGAGGCCTCAAGTGACGGTTCAGCTTGACCAAAGCAACCTGTCCACTGTCCCAGGCACGTCTCAACATTGCCCACCCTCCTATCCTTTCAATGGGAACCAAACCATTCTGCCTGTTCTCCAGCAGGCTGTATATGCTCTAAACCAGCATCCTGTTTCTCCGATACCCAGAATTCCTGGGTCCAGGAATGAAGGGGTGGAAATGGGAGCGACACCACTCACTATTAGCCCTAGTGACCCACTCAGAAAATTTTTGCTTCCTGTCCCTGCGACCCTATGCTCTTCAGGTCTAAAGGTCTTAATTCCAAAGGGAGGAATGCTCCCACCTGGAGACACAACACGGATTCCATTGAACTGGAAGCTAAGAATGCCACCCAGCCACTTTGGGCTTCTCATGCCTCTGGAACAACAAGTAAAGAAGGGAGTTACCATATTGGCTGGTGTGATTGAACCTGACTACCAAGGGGAAATTGGATTGGTGTTGCATAATGGAGGTGAAGAAGAGTATGCCTGGAATACAGGAGATCCCTTAGGGTATCTCTTGGTACTACCACGCCCTGTGATTAAAGTCAATGGAAAACTACAGCACCCCAATTCCGACATGACTACTAATGGCCCAGACCCTTCAGGAATGAAGGTTTGGATCACCCCACCAGGCAAAGAACCCACGACCAGCTGAGGTGCTTGCTGAGGGCAAAGGGAATTCAGAATGGGTGGTGGAAGAAGGTAGTTCTAAATATCAGTTATGACCACGTGACTAGTTGCAGAAATGAGGACTGTAATTGTTATGATTATTTCTTCCTTTTATTGTATATGTATGTATGCATATGTATATATAGCAAATATTTTTGTTTTCTTCCCGCCTTATCCCATTACTTACAAAAAACAACATGTAAGCAAGACTAGTGTGTTTCTAGTTGTACACGTTCGTTGTATCATGTTAGGTGCAAGCGTGACCTTATAATTGTCTTTATTTAGAGATTATATATAGTTTAAGGAGATGAGTACAGGTGCCAAGTTGACAAAGAGTGGACTGTGATGGTTAATGTTATGTGTTAACTTGGCTAGGCTATGATTCTCAGTGTTTTGGTAGACATTGGACTGATTGCTCTTCCATATGTAATATAATGTAATCACTTTCATGATGAGATCTGATATAATGTAATCACCTCCATGACGAGATCTGCTATGAGCTGCCAATGAGCTGAAAAAGGCGTTTCCTTGGGGGTGTGGCCTGCCTCCAGTATATAAATGGATGTTCCAGCAAGGCTCACTCTCACTCTGGATCCTGCATCTGACCTGTCATCATCTGACCTCCGCTTCTTGGGATGCATGCCAGCAGCCTGCTGCCTGACCTACAGATTTTGGGATTCACTAGCTCCCGAAGCCCCGTGAGCCCTCAGCCTGCTCTCTGACCTGCTGATTTGGGGTTTGTCAGTCCCTGCAACCAAGTGAGTCAGGAGGAGCCTCCAGCCTAATGGCTGACCCACAGACTTTGGGACTTGCCAGCTTCCACAACTGTGTGGGGTATTTCCTTGAATTAAATCTCTCTCTCTCTCTATACATATATATCCATATATATGTTTCACTGGTTTTCTCCTCTAGACAGCTCAGCCTAAGACAGATGGATATATAGAGAGAGTCAAATTGGCTATTAATTTTTATTTACTTTGTGTGATACTTGTGACCTATCTTCTAAAGAATATAACCAGTTCTTTAAGGAAAATGGCACATAACCATTTACACAGTGTTTGTTGGTATAGTATTCTTGATGGGGCATTAAAACTTGGATAATAAAGCAGATAATAAACTCTGCCTCTTCGTTCTAGTCCTATTGTTGAGTTGTTGACATTTGGAGAGGTCTCTTATCTTTTCTCTAATTAAATATTTTCATTTAGGTTGGAGTGGTAATATTAACCCTGTTTATGTCACATGGTGATTGTAAAGATCGATGATAAATGTGAAAATACTTTGAGATCATGGAAAAAAAATTATAATTACATTGAATGAAATATTATACCTTTTTAAACAAATTTTTAAAAGTTTCCAGGCTTCATTCTTTATTTTTCTTGCACATTTAATTCAAGTCAGGAATGGAAAGGAACATATATTTATTCATTGCCTATTATCTGCCAGGCATCCATATGGTATGTACATTACAATTTAACATTTAATCAAAATATCTTTTTTTCTTGGTAATAACAGTTTTTCTCTGGGTGAGGGGCCATTTGTAAAATAATATTTCTAACAGTAAAATTCATAATTGACTAACCTAAGTATCATCAATAGCAAAGTAGAATATATGCAAGAAAAAAAATGTGGTTGGCATGGTGAGTGTAACACTTCCCTGATTTATTATCAACCTTTCAAAATAGGAACCCACTTTCCTTTTAGAGTGGAAACTTGTACTAGAGAAGACAAGAAATATCTTCTTATGAATCTGATTGATCCAGCCTGGTTCAAAAACCCCACTTAGCAGCTCTAACGGGAAGTCTGAGGTATGGCTCGTCTGCTGAGCATCTGCTTTTTGATAGTGTTGATGGTCAAAAGCTCATTGATTTCCGTAAAAGGAAATGAGTTAGCAAGCTTCAAGATGCTCTCTTTCTATGTTTAATGTTCTTTTACTATCACTCTTGCACAAATTCCCAGATCAGAGCTTAATATGGCCAAGTGCACTGTCATGGGGGTGACTATTTTGAATGTGCATTGGAATTTAAGTGACACTTAAAAAAAATTCCCAGTTTAGCAGGAGTGTATTTGCATGCCCTAGAGGCTAATTATGTTGGTGAATATAAGGTAAATTAACTCACTTTTGATTAACATTTCAATTCTTTTACAGGCTTCAATAGTTGACATCCAAATAGCTTGAAAGAGTGAATGAAGCTGCTGATATGCAAATAATTTGTCCCACAAATCCTCATCTTCAAAGTTCCAAAACACTAACTAAAAAAACCAAACAAGATTCAGACCTGGATGATCCCTGCCCCGAATTCCTCCGGAAGGTGTAACACAGGTCAGGAAGTCCTTTTCTGCAAGTAATTATTACAAGAGGAGACATTAAAATCTCAGAAGAATTAGAACGTTAGAGCTGAAAGCAGCCTTCGAGATAGGCATAGGGTGAGAAAACCCAGAGAACAGAAGTAACTGGTGTAAGGCTACAGTTTGCTGGTTAGCGGGGGAACCTGAGTCTGCTAATCTTTCCAGTCTCCTGATTTTTCCTCCGTACCAAAGAACCATTTTTAAAAAATTCCATATGTATTTTTTCCCAGGAACAAACACCAACAGATATTTTACACATTCTAATGTTAGTGGGGAGTCCTGGTGGTACAGTGGTTAAGAGTTGGGCTGCTAAACAAAAGGTTGGCAGTTCGAATCCACCAGCCGCTCCTTGGAAACCCTGTGGGGCAGTTCTTCTCTGTCCTTTAGGGTCGCTATGAGTCAGAATCGACTCGGTGGCAACGAGTTTGGTTTTTTTGATTTTTGGTAATGTTAGTGGAAATCAGCTAGAGAAAGAAAGAATTCCCAAAGGGTTAGCCGAATGGTTTTTCCACTTGTCAATTTGTTGACTTTTAGATGTTTAAATAGTTTTCAGTGAGAGGATAATTCATATATTCTCAGCCTATAACGACCCTTTTTTTTTTTTAGAAGAATCACCCCATCCTCTCAGGCAATAGTGCCTCAGACTCCGTATTTATAGTATATGTTCCTGCCCCTCTATACCTCCACTGACTACAGCAGAGAGAAAGAATTGACCCATGTTGGGCCAATCTGATTGTCTCCTGGAAGTGTTTGCAAGTGAGCTTTTGGTCAGATTCTGCTGATTGAGAGGTAGTCTTTTGTGGCATGTACAGGAAGAAACAAAGAGAAGTGTTTCTGCTGAGATAAGATGGCGGCAAAGGTTCAGAGAGAGGTAGGGTGGAGGAATGATGGGGAGGGAGGAAGAGAGAAGAGGAGAGGGTGAGATGGGGAAAGGGTGAGAGAGAGAGAGAACCACTTCCTGAATTCCTGAGGGAGGGGTCTGGCTTCAGTCTTTATAAGGCCTTCTATACTCCCTTCCCTTGGGATTTATGTGGTCACCTTATAATAATCCCTCTTTCAATTAAAGTAATTTAAGTCAGTTTCTGTTATTTGCAAACGAAACTTGTGTAAAACAAAACTGCTTTAAGATATTTGCTAAATCCTTGTTGGACTGTTCAAGGTTACAGTTTTTAAGAGTGCCAGAATTTCAATGGAATTCCACTCTGAGGCTTTGGTCAGCATTTAAGCTTCTAATAAATGAATGCAGCTCTTCTTGGTGAAAGGGCATCAGATCCATCCTCTCGATCTAGGACTGGAATTTTAATGGCTGGAATCATTAGTGTTCAGCTCCCCAGTGGTGAATTTCATGAAAAATGCAGCTGGACTTTTAGACTGTTATCTTTTCGCTTGAGGGACATTATTTAGGTTAATCTGAATCTTCATGACCCCAGTCAAATTGTGCTAAACCAAAAGATTTGTGTGGAAACAGTTTCTTTGTAGATCACTTACAGTGGTGGTGTTTGCTTTTGGGGTATTGGTGTCGTTCCCAGTTTTCGTGATGGCAAAGATGTCTTGACTTCTTGTCTCCTGTTGCCTTCCTGGGGTGAGAAGTGCTCCAACTTTCACCTCAGCTGGGCTTTGGACAGATATCCAAAATATCTCTTTCCCTCTCCTGTAGGTGGGACCCCAGCAGGGCAACAGGAAAATAAGCAGTTCCCTCCCCGTCTGAATCACTGCTGGCCATGGCAGCCACACAGCCCCCCTTTTCTCTCTGCAATAGTATTGCTTACGGACTCATGGAAATTGTGTTTAGCTCTATCTACTGAAAAAACAACAACAACAAAAAAAACCAAACCCGTTGCCGTCGAGTCAATTCTGACTCATAGTGACCCTATAGGACAGCGTAGAACCGCCCCAAAGGGTTTCCAAGGAGCAGCTGGTGGATTTGAACTGCTGACCTTTTTGGTTAGCAGCTGAACACTTAACTACTGTGCTACCAGGGCTCCGCTCTATCTACTAGAGTGTCTTTTATTCCCTGCTGATTGTGGTTCTGTCTGCATGTAATTATCCCTGGGGGATCTAGGTTAACGGGTGTTGTGGTAATTAAAAAAAAAAAAAAAAAACATGTCCACAAATTCTTTGAAGCTCCTCCATTCATGAGGTGGAGCTTGCTT